GCCATCAGAAAGCAACACGAAGCGTGCCTGCGTTTTACTTTGTTTACTGTCCGCTGCCGCGGTAACCGCAGTCTCATCGCCAAACAATTCGGAAACTCGGTTGTTTGTGTGTGTGTGTGTGTGTGTTTTCGCGTGTATTCAGGCTGCTCCTGTCCCTCTTCTCGGAGGCGAAGGCGTGGGAGCTGTCCTCGTTCGTGTCGTCCTCCAAGGAAAAACTGGGAGTTTCGTGCGTTGTTGTTGGTAGCGGCGACAGGGGTCGGGTAGGGGGGGAGGACCCTTTTGTCGGGGCGACGCATCCATCGGCCAAGAGGGCGAGGAATTCCCTCAGCAGGTGACTGATCGTACGAGGCACACCTTTTCTATTGTATCGGCTTTTCCGAACTCATCCCGTCCACCGTTCTGTTCGCAGTTTGCTTGAGTAGAATAATTCCAACGGGAGTGCAGGATGTAGGTGGGCTTATGGGAGGTGGTTGATGTTCGTTCACTTCTTTCTCGATGCGCGTTGTTGCCCTCCACCAGAAGCACGTTGTTGTGTTCCTTCTTGAGAGTGATGCACCACCGTTGTGATCCAGCCACGATTTAGAAGAGCCCGGGTCATTCGCCAAGGTTTTTCTGCCGAGGTTCCCCAGTCTCTTTGTGTGAGTCGGTTTTACCGCCGCTTCTTCCTTCCCGTTCGTGGCTCTACAACCCTTTTTCAGCTTTTCAGCAACTCCCCCCTCTGTGCATTGGCTGATACCAACAGCCTACCCCCTCACGTTTGGTCAATCCGTTCAGTGACGTGTTCGCCCCCCCTTCCCAAGTTTCTGGTGTGTGTGTTTTTATCGATTGTGTTCCGCCGCTGCTGCGCTTCCTAGTCGCTTTTTACTCGCTGCTTCGCTTATTCATCGGTTCTTGTTCGCTGCTACGCCTATCCCCTTGTCCCCTGATTATCTCGGCGGCACGTACTTCTATCTACGTACCCGAACGTGCACCAGATCTTCCAGCCTAGGCCCAAGCGAACGCGCGAAAATGGGGCCTCTGGACATGCGGGCGCTGTCGTTCGTGTGCTGCACCTTGGCAGGCCTGCCGTACCAGGTCCAGGAGGAGCCTCTCTTCGTCATCGACTACGTCAACCGCCAGGTCTGTCTGTCTATCTGTCTGTCTGTCTGTCTGTCTGTCTGTCTGTCTGTCTGTCTGTCTGTCTGTAGGTCTGTCTGTCTGTCTGTAGGTCTGTCTGTCTGTGGGTGGGTTTGCGGTGGCAAAGTGTTTGGAGACTAAGAAGGTCGTTGACGTGTTTGAGTTAGGTTTTCGTGGTTTAGAACCGGGTCGTGTTTGGTTAGATGCTGCTGCTTCTCTTGGTATTGACCTTACTGTCGCCGTCGAGTACGTGCCGTGGGCTACTATGTGATGGTTTGGAATGATATTGATTCCTGCTCGTTGTTTTTTTCTCCAAGCTTCTGATTCTTGGTGGTTTGGGACTGTTGTTGGTGTATGTCGTGGAGATGTTGGTTCAAGGTAAGAATGACTGCAAGTGTGACTAAGACTAAACACCAACAACACAAGATTTAGAATAGTGTCATCCTTAAGCGCCCGACGCTGCTGTGCTCTGTGGTATCAGTCGTGAGGTCGCTCGTGATAGTGATGATGGCGGTGGCGATGATGACACGTGTCTCACTGTTAGTCTGTGAACAGACGGTCTGAACTACATTGAATTGGAGACGCTCGTTCGCGTGGATACTGCCTGCTTTTTTTCTGCGGCCTGTGCTCAACGTTTCCTGCGCAGCGTTGTTACGGTTGGCCAAACGTTGTACCTTTCCGCACGGTCAATTTCCGTGCCCTGGTTGTATCCTTTGTTCCGTCCGACAGATGTCGCTGCAGGGGAGCCAGTGCTTGGAGCTGCTGCACACTCTTCTCGCGAGAAAGGGTGAGCGCCCTTGCCGATTCAATTTTTGGTTCCCATTGTTCATGGTCACCGAGAGTTTGTGTAGGCCGGTGCCAGAATGAATGGGAGACTATACACAAATGCACACACACGGTGGTATTGGCTCATATTCTGTTGTCCGGAAGCAAGGCACTGTCGTCCTACTTCCCCCTCGCACTTGCCAGTGGAGATCCGTTGCCTAGAAAGGGTGCTGTTGTTTTTTTTTTCCCGGTCTACAGAATTTTCATTGGCCAACCGCTTAGCGCGGTCGATCCTATTTAGTGAAAGAAACACAGTAAGGTCACACCCACGTGCTTGGGGTTCGCTGTCGGATATTTCTGTCTTGGGATGGAGCTGCGGGACACGTGTGCTTGTGGTCTTTGTGAGCGAACTCTGTACAAATACATCATGCGAAAAAGTGGCCGCAGAATACAGGCCTCCTCTCCATTTTTTTTCCTCCTCCGGGATGACCATACGTAAAAGTTAAGAATCCCCTCCCCCCCCTCATCTTTGGGTTCCGATCAACCGACTCCCTCACCACCCTGGTTCCTATCCCCCCCCCCCACGATCCGCATTTCAGGCGTGCCGACGCCCCCCCCAGATAGCGACGACATTGAGGAAGACGATCTGGGCTTGCATGCGGCGAGAGAGCGTCAGGAAGGAGGGCACCGAGTCAGCGGTGTCGCCGATCTCACCACCCCGGAGCATAACAGCGAAAACGGCAATCCGCGGGCCCTCTCGCGCTCCGCCACGGCACCCCCTGCCGTGGGCGGTGACGGGGCGTCATCGGCAGCGGGTATGGGAGCGGCCAATGCGGAAGAGGTGCGTCGTCCGTGTTCGGTTTGTGCGTGTTCGTGATGTTGCTGTTGATGCTGCTCTCGCAACCTGTATGATTCGGTTTGTTTGTCTTTTGTGATCTCCGAGCTGTGTGTTTTCCGTAGCGTTTACGCTGTAGTACTATATTTGTGCATTTGGTGGCTGCATCCATGTCGTGTCCATTTCAAATCGCTCGGTTGTTGTTTCTTCCGTCTCTCCAGAGTTCTTTGGTTTGCTTCAGTCACTTGGTTTTTGCAATCTCGAAGGAAAAAAAATGCGCGTGGTGTTGCCTAAACTATTTTTTTGTACGTCAACGTACTTCCACAGCCTTTTTTTTTTGCTCAGCCTCAATGACCGGGGCTATCCATGTTGTCCTGGAGGAAGATGACCACCATTTTCCAGCCAGACACGGAAGGGTAGGTAGAAAGACACGGCCGAACACAGCGTCAAGACACCATATGTTCCCCAGAGGATGGCTTCCCTCCCCCCCTCACTCACTCGCGTTCCTATCTGTGGCAACACACAAACGTATGCGTTCCGGAACCCGTGGTGGGCAGGAGAACATGATGCATCTTAGGAAGACGTGCTCCGCAGCCGCGGCGTTCAGCATGCTGCTTCGGCTCAAGGTTTACCTCAAGTCGGCTTACGGGCTGACGGCGGCCAGGTGCCAGTCCTACAAGCCCAATGAGGCCACGAAGGTGAGAAGGCCAACAGGAAATGGCCATAGATCAAAGGCCACCAAATCGCCCACCACAGCAGCTGCACCGAAAGTTAGCAGTACGGGAGCCGAAAGGGCCAGCAGGAAAAGACGGACGCCAACGACCACCAATAATGCCCACGATGAAAGAGACACTGACATGTTCAACCATACCAAGGACTACCATACACCCCTCTTCCCCCTCGACACACTCCGTCCGCTGCCAACGCTTGACTTGATGAATTTCGCTTCTTTTTCTTTGCCAGGCCAATGAGAAGCAAGCGCAATCCCCGAACCCTCCCCCGGAGACGTTCAATCCCTTCACTACGGCCAAGAAGGGGGCAGGGAAGAACGTTGTCGACACCTCTTCCATAGCGGCTGCGGCCGCGTCAGCCGCGGAAGTCCTGGACTCAGGGTCTCCGGTGGAAGTGAGTCGCGGTTTCTTGCCTTTCAAGTAGAGTGTTTGGCTTTATTATCGTGGGGCGTTGTGGTCGTCTGTGCAGGAGCGGCTGGGTCGCGGGCGTGTGGCATCACGACCCTCTTTTTGTTTTTCTCTCATCTTAACATCTGTACCGGGAGGCAATGTACACAGTGCTCCGTGTATTTTCGTTTGACGCGCTATTATAGCCTGGGTGTTGCAGCAGGGAGGGACTCTCCAATTTTACTCCTGCGATGCTTGCCTTGAACATGTCCCGCGAGAACGGATTCAGCAATCCCTACCCGCCTTCTTGTGTGCTCTCGACCTTGCGCTTTTCGCGTTTAAACTTGTTTTGTTTTCTCTCCAAAGAGATTTGAATCCTCAGCCCAGAGATTGTACGATTTTTCCAACTGCGACTGTCGTGTGACCGAGCTCGTGCATTCTCTTCAAGTCTCTGCGTACCTTTTTTTTTATTGCGAATGTTTAAACTAGAGCGAGGGGTGGACATGTTCAAGGTGCGCCTGGACTTGAAAGCGTACCCTTTTCCCTACAGTCGTCCACTCCTTGTGTTGTCACCACCACTGTATCCCCCCCCCCCCCCCC